TCATCATCATCATCATCATCATCATCATCATCATCATCATCATCATCGCCACCACCATCATCATCATCATCATCACCATCACCATCACCACCACCACCACCATCCTCCTCCGCCTCCTCGTCATGATCATCATCACCATCACCATCACCACCACCACCACCACCATCCTCCTCCGCCTCCTCGTCATCATCATCACCATCATCATCATCATCATCATCATCACCATCACCATCACCACCACCATCCTCCTCCGCCTCCTCGTCATCATCATCATCATCATGAGATCATGTGAGATGTTTTCCTCTCCCCCCTAAGCTGGCTTTGTGCTCTTGATATCCCTTGATCCTTTGCGCTTTGGCGGCTTCTCCTCAATCTTGGACGCCACCTTTTTGATATACGCCAATCACTAAGAAACTATTTTGGGGTGGGAGTCACTTAATGAAATATTTTTTCCCAAATAATTGCTGTAACTCGAAGTATTATTTGGCAAGCCATGTAGGTGGTGGTACCAAAATATTTTTTACTAAAACAGTCTAGGTGGTGCAACATAATTTTCATTTTCATATGATAGATATTATTTCTAAATTTTAAGTAATTTTGAGTCTATGACAACCCACCTGTACAACATTATTTTGAAATAATTTTGAGTATATGAGGACCCACCTCAAATTCTTTCTAAACAATTTTGAGATATATATATATATTGAATATATACTGAAGGGTGGTTGTGTAGTCATGGTATTGTTTTATCCTTTTGTGCTACCTCCTCCTCTGATTCAGGGTCTACGTTGTCATCCTTCATCTCAGACTTCTCGTCACAGCCCACAAATGAGGAATCTTCGCACAACATGTTCAACTCCTCCTGAATCATGATGCCCTTCTCTGTGGTTTCCAGGCTGTCAACCACTGCTTTTGATTCTTCACTGAAGCTGTCCTTGCTCTCATCATTGGCTTCCTCGTCGCTGCTCTCACCGTCCTCTGCCAAAGTACCGAGGACGAGCTTCTGCCCAGTCTCACGCCACCAGGATACGAGGTCATTTTTGATGTCGGCTGTCTGGCTGACAGAGCAGCTTGCAAACAAGCACCTCAGAGTTACAGCCTTTGGGCACAATGCTTTGTAAGTTTACTGCTAGATCAAAGCTAGGAAGAAAGAACGCTGTTTCATAAAAATGGCGAGGCACACTTGGTCCAATGCTTTGGAAGGCATCGAATCAAAGTCCACAGGCTGAGGAGAATCGAGGACACCTGCCATCTCAATAGGAGGAAATTTGGGAACAAACACATAATTTTGCAAAAGAAACTATAACCACATTATTTGAGGGGGTGGGTGACTACACAACCACCCATTAAATGGGCTTCAATCACAGGAAACTAGGTGGAAAAGGACAAAGTGCAACCTCATACAGCCTCTATAGTGAAATTATTTGAGGGGGGTGGGTGACTACACAAACACCCATTAAATGGCGCCAACAGGAGAAAAAGGCGGAAAAGGACAGAACAAGCAGCAAGGAAACAGTGGAAGAGGAAAAGAGATTGGAAACCATGTGCAAATCCGCTGGGTTTTTGAACATTTGGTTAAAAATAGCCAGGTAGAACCGGCATAAACAATCATCAGCGGCTTAGGGGTTCGTGTTAGCCAGGTAGACCCGGGACGGTGGAACTATAGCAAGCAGCAGCAGCCCCTATAATAAAATCATTTGAGGGGTGGGTGAGTACACAACCACCCTATATATATATTTTATATTTGTCTTTTTTTTTGAAGGGTGGTTGACTACTCAACTATCCATTATGACACTGTCCGTGTTAATCCGAGCTGAGTCAACTTTGGTCAACTTATGGGGGGTGAGTCCCACCTAGATGGTCTCATGTCGGGTCTATGTTGGATGTTTTTTACATTCTTGAAATTATTTGTGAGACCCTGAGAGTCCAGAAATAATTTGATGCGGATATCTCCAACCACCTCAAAGTAATAGAATATTATTTTGAGGCGGGTGGTACAGTGGGTGGGCCCAGTGGTTGGTGTATTGTTTGATCCTTTTTGTTGATTCGGAATTTAAATGGTGGTTGTACTTGCCACTGTCAGTTGCCAGACCATTGGCTTAAATAATGACCCCAGCAGCAATCCTTATAGAGAAATTGGAAACCGTGTTGATCTATTTGTATATTCGGGGATCACTTGATCACTATTACAAGGTTCCATCGGTGAGGAGAGTCACTTGCGAACTTGCAGCCGCTGGAAGAGCCTCGCAGGCTTTGGGTCTTCACCAATCCGCAGAGGCGAGGGAGGAGAGTGGAGGCGTAGTGGCTTTGAGTGGCTAGTCACATGGCAGTTCACATGGCCCTATTGAAGGCCCTATTGGTGGGGGCGAATGATGAAGCATGCATGCTTCCACTTCGGAACATTTGGAACAATTCTTTTCAGGGGAGTGTGGTTGAGAAAGCATACTGCCTGAACTAAAATCACCAGTCTTCACTGTTGGTGCTCATTTCTGTGAACCGCGGACTCCGTTTGGGACGAATCGCGCTGCCAGGTCGACGATGCGCCTTTGGCGGAACAAAGTGCCTAAGGCACTTGCCAAACTTGCCAGACTCAGACATGAATTTCATTGGTCGATTCATGTCGAATCGGAAACCTGGGACCACTCGGATGTAGAACTTGAGTGACAAAAACATCCAGTTTGCTTGTCCGTTGCCGGACTTTGGTCCTTCCCTCGACGTTGCTCCGCGCCGCACAAAACCCTCTTGGCGTGCTGGTTCAGCGTACAACATGCAGAACAATGCCTTGCACGGTTGACCTGGCATATCGCAGCATAGCAGGATTGTTTTGAGTTTTGATGGAAGAACTCAAGAGAAGAGCCAAGATCCCCCCTAAGCCCCAAGACATTCCAAGACAAAATATGACGAAGTTTGAAGTTAAAGCAATGTTTCAATTGCTTATACAATATATTTTGGTATTTGAAATATAAATCATATGATGCGTACCATCGATCCCTATATTTGCCGAGCTCACCGGCGCCCAATCTCCGTTCGGGCAGGCTGAGCGCATTGACTCCTTGCAACTTCACCTCCAAAAGCTGCAGACGAAAATGGCGGCCGTGATGGCAATGGGAAGGCCATGGAGGGCCTATGAAGGCCTCAGGCCATTGGGTCTTACAGTTGTACAGGGTATAGTTTGGGGGGGGCCTGCTATTGAGTGCCTTTTTAGAGGGTGGCGGTATATGAGGGTGAGACCTGATGTGCAAACTGCGACCAGGAGTTTGTTGTAATTACCCAGAAAGCAGGTGACAGGACACAGGAGTGTTGGTCTGAGTCTATTCAATTCCCAACTGATATTGGTTCATTCTGCCTTGGCTATCTCTCCTGAACTTTTAGCGAGTTTCACAAAGTTTGACGAGAGACATTCATGGATCAAAATTCATTCAACATGCATATTGAACTATATATAGAATGTGTTGGTTTGGTTCAAAAGGTCTTCAAACGAAAATGGTCGATGTCTCAAAGGGAAGGTTACCGCGGGCTCAGGAGGGAGTTGCCGACCATCCTTTCTGTGCAATGCTTGAGAATGTAGCACCGCCCATCCCATGCCTTTGTTATGTATTATGACAAAAGAGATGTATGATGGGATGCCAGCTCTTCCCCGCGATTACTTGTATATTGTATACATTTCCAATATGTATACATATAATTATAGTATGTAACTATATATATATAGATATAATATATATAACTAACTATATGTACAATAGTTTGCTGCTAACCTGCCTCTCAGCTGTCCATTCGGTGACCTTTGTATTTGGCAAGAGTCAAGACTGCTTCGTGTGTCGCGCAGTTGTTCTCACAGCTGAGGCACAGACGAAGACGTGGCAAACCATGGATGCAGTGCCATTCTGCCAGGGACTCGTTCCTTTGCTGAGGGACAGGTCGAACACACAACGTTACACCCAACTAAAATCAGTTGGAGGCCAATGCTCATTAATAATCCCCTACAAGCCAGTGGTTTAGCATGGTTTAGTAGTGTTGTGACTTGCCACAGCCACAGGGTTCAAACATGTTTTCATGAGCTCCCCACGAAGACACAGAACTCACATGTTGGTGACACTATCTTTACCTTTGGGGATTAGGATCGATGTTCAATGTTTGTTCGGGAAATTTCCAAGTCCCCCAGTCGCTCGGTAAAGACTCTGCATCTTTGAGGCTTTGAGGCAAACGGAGAGTGATTTTCGTGCAGTCAACCTGGAGGCTTACAATCATATGTTCTTCTCAATTTGACCAATGTAACTATAGCTCGCACCCTGGGAGCTTGTCAATAAAATGTACCGAGGCATTGCCAAAGACTTCTTGCGCCGCTGAACATTGACGTCGTTTTCGTCGCCGAAGGTCGCTTCTCGTCCGAGGTCGCGCCCTCGAGGCGCATGTCGAAGCCAAGCATCCCAACGAGACAGAGGCTGGGCGTGGGGGTCTTCGAGTGGTTGGAGTGCCTGGTCATGGCCAGGAAGGTGCTGCGGAGATCCATGGGGTCATGGGTAAAAGAAGCTTTGTATTATGTTGTACATTGTATAATATATATATATATGTTTATACTTGTATAATATATATATATGGTTTGTTCTCCGAACTCCTGTTAAATGTGTAATATTGTTCCGCTTGGCGCAGGAAGCCCATGTATCCCCATGTTGCTAAATTGCACCAGGGCACCAGTTACTACCAGTTGCAATTCATCATGACACCGGTAGAGGAGACAAGCTGGCGCTCCAAACCCACGAGCCAGCGCTGGTTGAAGGGCTCGCTACCAGAGCTCTTGGGAGATATGTCTCGCCTGTCAGAGCGAGCTTGGGGTCATTTTGCACGCTTGCTGTTGAAGCAACATGCGAAAGATCATCGGCAAGCACAACCTTTTGATTTATGTTATATATAACAACATCAGCAACACAAAGATCATACTGTTGATGGACGAAATCCTCCACCACCTCACCACGACTTTACCTGGAAGGGTCGCATAGCAACCCCTGTGCCCCGTCATTCAATGTTGGCGCGACCCCTCTGAGGAGGTGGTGCAGGATTTTGGACCTTACTTGTTTTAGTTTTCTCACTGTGGTGGCCACAATGTTAACGAGGGAGAACCTGTGCGCAAAGCGGTGCAGGATTTTGTCCAACAACAGCGAACACAAACTCCAAAAGATTATAGATATATGTTTTATACTAGTGCCTTTTCTGAGTGCACCGGTGCGCCACACCGAGCTCGAGGAGCAAGTCTCCCAACGCTGCCACAAGCTCTTGCGCAAGCTGGGTCGAGCGATGCGCCTGGGATGGGCCGGGAGACCCGGTGCCCAGCGGCCCGGCGGCTGTTGTGAAACTGATTTGCTGCTTGTGGTCAATGTCAGGATGCATTCATTCTGAGTCTGATTTGTGCAATGTAACCTGCAGTCATGTGATGGTGTGGACTAAATTCTGATGATGAGCGGACACTGATCCATGTTTGCCACAACACTTCTGTGGACGCCAGTGTTGGCAAAGCAGACATGCAGTAAACATGTTAAGAACAAAAAGCAGAACCAAAAATATGCATGTATTGTTTTACTTGTCAACATGTTGTTCTCCCTTCACTTTACGTACTTTTCAATCGGACATTTATTGGTGTTTGTCCTCCCACACCCGAGGGAGCTGAAATGACATCCCGTTGACCACGCTTTGTGAGGAGTGGGAATTGTTGGGCGTCGATGAGGCTGGACGTGGGATTCAGCAGACAGGGAGGATTAGCACCTGTGAAAAAACACACACACTTGGTTTGTCTATCGAAGTGGAGACAGAAAACAGCCAAAGAATGGAACTTCAATTACCTGAACCCCCGAGGGGTGGTTAATGGACACCCTAAGGGGCTATTAATGGACACCCTTTCCGTGGTGCTGGTAGTGGTCTCAATGCTCTCCCAATCTGAGGTTGAACTCCCAAGACTTGACCAGCCCAGTGTCGTGAACAGAGAGCCGATCGACACCCAAAATAGGAAGTGCGCCACAAAATGGTACAGCTGTTTTACCAGATGCTGCTGTCCATGGTCAATGATGACCCGTTCTTGGTGGATTCATTTTTCGGCAGGAGTTGAGTCAATCTTATTGGCACTGGGTGACTTTTTGTTTAAACATTAGTTTCCACTGGAAAAGACTAAAGACCTTTGTGAAAGCTGGCAACAACTCGCATTCGACGGGCCAAATGGTGGGCAGCAAGCAACCACTGACGACAACATCCATTTCCATTGCCTAAACATGAAGCATCATGAAACTAAACGACTACCTAAACTCCCATCCAAACCTATGAAGACGATGTTGAGTCAGATTTTTAGACCCAGTTCTCGACCTGGTGAGTCGGATGGTCGACCTGGTCCATCGCATCGCTGGACTCCTCCGTCCGATGACCAGGACCTTCCGCGGTCCGACATGGCGACTTTCACCGACTTCGAGACGGTGCTGCAGCGTTTGCTGAGCTTGGGCCAAGAGAAGCAGGCGCGACGTTGCTTCCGGGCACGGGCCAGGTCCTTTCTCTCGGGCCAGGGGGGTGGGAGGCCATGTGTGTTTGGAAGAGTTTTGGCCAACTTTCTGGGTCCCAGGACGTGTCCCATTTCATATCTGGACACAAAACAACCTAATGGCCTTGGATCACCGGGTTTGTATTGATGTAGCGACGTAACTTCTCCCGCAGTCATGAAGCGACCGGCAGCCCAATTGCTGTCCCGGCGGACCGTGCGGCAGCGAGCCATGGCAGAAGTGCTTGGAGCTGAGAAGAGGAGGGAGACAGGAAAGGCTACAGCTTTCAAAAAGGATCCAAAAAGTATATAAAATGCTATAAAACTGTGATTTGTTGGGAAGGGAAGGAAGGCGAAGGGGCCAAGCCATTCCTGTGGTTACGTGCGGTCTGACGTTTTTTGTCTTTTTTTTAAAGCTATAGGGTACATTATATTTACTGTATATGGGGAGTATAGAGTATTATGAGTATTTGGAAGCAGATGCTCCCAGGCTGATCGGTCGCTTGGTCATTTGTGTTTGTGGGTCTATACAACATCTACAATCCAGTAGTGGTTGCCGAAGATTGCTCGGCAGACGTGTGGAGCACCAATGTGTTGAATCATTGAGGTATTTATGTTTTGAGCTAGATAAAGACCCATCTAGATAAATGACCCCAGCGTGACAAAATACGCGCGGAAACACCTGCAGTGGCGAATCCTCCTTGAGGCAAAGAGCCCAAATCTTTGTGACTGGCAAGGTCCAGGGAGCCCCTTGGTGCAACCTGTTTAAGTGCCTGGCCCGTGTGATATTATGCATAGACACAAGCACCCGTTAAATTCGTGGGAATCTCTCGGGCAAGCGCCCGGGGCGACGTCAGATTGTCATGCTGCTGAATCATGGCATCTTTTCCAGATGGAAACTGGATGGGTTTACCCAAGAATGGACCACTCCTTGTCGATGTCTTTTGCGTTCTGCAACGTTCGAGTCGTTCGGCGTATATTCTGGAACTTGACGTCGATGCGTAGTTTGATGGACCCGTGATGACCCAGAGAGATTGATGCGTAAATATGGACCCTTGCGCTTGACCAAGAGTTTGTGGGGGCCACGCAATCACTGTTTGGTGCGCTTTGGCTGTTTGGCCATGCACTTGGCCAGTGCCGTGGTGCCCATGTTGCACGAACATTGTGTTGCTTTGGTACAAGATGTACAAGTGTCACAAGCGTTCAAGGCAAGTGTGGGTTCTAGTGTTGGGGAATATTTAGGCAAGTTCTTAGATTTTGGATAAAGTCGAGTTCCGCAACTGCGCAGGATTCCGCAACTAGGATTCCGCAACTGTTTGGTCGGATTCCGCAACTGGGATTCCGAAACTAGGATTCCGCAACTAGAATTCCGCAACTAGGATTCCGCAACTAGGATTCCGAAACTAGGATTCCGCAACTGTCAAGATTCCGCAACTAGGATTCTGCAACTGGGATTCCGCAACTGGCGTTCCGCAACTAGGATTCCGCAACATTGTGGACTCCCTCACTAGGATTCCGCAACTTTGTGAATGATGAGGGATGTCGAAATCACACGATGGGGACAAGGGGGGGTTGGGTGGGGGGCTAATGACGTTGGTTTGGATGTGCTTCGAAGGTGATGTCACAGGCACACACGCTATCGCATGATGTGGAGATCACCAGTTGCAAGTTTCAGAAGGCAAGTTGCAGAATCTGACCTTCCAGTTTCAGAATACCAGTGGCAGAATCTGACTTTCCAGTTTCAGAATACCAGTTGCAGAATCTGACTTTCCAGTTTCAGAATACAAGTTTCAGAATCCCAGTTTCAGAATCCTAGTTTCAGAACCCCAGTTTCAGAATCCTAGTTTCAGAACACCAGTTTCAGAATACCAGTTTCAGAATCCAAGTTTCAGAACCCTAGTTTCAGAACCCCAGTTTCAGAACCCTAGTTTCAGAATCCGACCGATTAGTTTCCGAATCCGGCTCTAACCCTTAGATTTCTCCAGTTGACCCTTCATGACTTGCTTTAGCAATGGCTAAAGAGACTATATAAAGCCACTAGATTGAGGTGGATAGAACATGATAGAAGTGAGGAGACTGCAGAGGTACCCAACTTTTGATCGGCTCCGGTTTTGAGCCCACCTCATGTCTTTGGGATTCCCGCTGTTTTTCCAGGTCTACTACAGAGACACCACCAAGATCATGGGATCCTTGGATCTCCCGGATTTGCCCAGGAAGATCAATGCCATGAAAACGAAAACAAAACAAAAAAACACGTTTTTTCAATGCTGCTTGTGGGGTAGATTCCAAGTCCTCAGCCTCGATGTGGCCTGGAATTTCTATTCGAAAACATCGGAGGTACTATATAGGTAGGTCAACGCAAGAGACGAAGTTGTTGATTGAATATGTTTGAATCAGAATCATATATTGAGCCAAAGGTGTTTTGTTTTGCGTTTTGTTTTGAAAGTTGTTTCTTCAAGAAACCGATCACACTAGCTATGTTGGGTCATATGTCATCCCGAGTTTCAATTTCAACAATAGACTCAATAGACCTGACATGCAGAGGGCCGGAGGCATCAACGAGTCAATTCGGGCCACCAGACAATGCGTCAAGTTTTGCCTTGGCAACCAGAAACTTTCCGCCTCGGTACACGTTGAGTCTCGACAAACATCTCCACATGTTTGTGGCTTCAACGACTCGGGGGCAATCCTAGGGAATGCTCACTGAGCTTGAACAAGGGGCCTCATGGCCTATTTCCAACGTCACCTCAGAATGCACGGAATTATCTATATATATATATTATATATTCTATATGTCCAGTGATTTCGGGCATGTTCTGTTTGTTGTTTTGCTACAGATGGCTACCTCTTAAAGTATCCGACAAATCCATCGCAAATCAATCCATCCACGCTTTGTGTGGCGTGGCGATTGGTTGTTTATCCAAGGAGATCGCTTGGGTCTCAGCGGTGCTGCTTGGAATCTTGGAATGCGACGTATGGGTCGGGTTTAGTGACATTTCGATTCAGATACATTTACTATAGTTTGGCATGATTTGGCCTTCCATTTTGGACATGTCATAATGGATGTTCCATTTGATATTCTTCACGTACCGGGAAACTGCTCAGCGCAAAGCAGCTTTCACTTGAGCACGACTCAGGAACCTGAGCGACGGAAGGGTGGAAGTGCTGGCTGAAGGGCCTCAGGACGCGCTAAAGAAACATATCATACGCAGTCGTAGTGCCCCTGACACTTCGCGGATGCTGGCAAGATGCTTGAACATGCTCGAACCATGTTTGACCTCTATAATTACTGAAGGTAACTGGAAGGTTGACCAACACTGGATGGTAGGAAGCCCATGTCGTTTGAGAACTGAACCCCTGACCACGTCTTGGAGGTTTTGGGTGTTTCATAGTTTGGATGCTGGATCAAATTGGTTCTGATTGAGAACCAATCTGGTGCCAAGCAACTTCTCCCTGAGACTGGCATCAAAGGAACCGATGTCGCGATGTATTAAACTCGTTGGGGTCGGCCGATAGGTGCACACAAACCATCAGCAGTTGTTTTGATCATTTTAGAGCAGTTGTGTGTTTGTCCATTAGTCCATTAGGTTCGCTTTCTGGAGCTTCCGCGTCTTGCCGTGCCCGCGTCAGCCGCACCGAGAGTCCGTCCAAGTCCCGTTGGTCGGAAGGAGAAGTTGAAAGAATTGGTGGATTGGTGTTGGAAGGGCCCCGAAGGCGCAGCTGAAGCGGGTCTCGAGCGCCTCGGCTGCAGTGTTCTGTTTTTTTTTTTGCGTACAAAGGCAGTAACTACTCCTGCCCAGCTGTAGGACTGTAGGGATGGTGGCCCAGATTGGGACTTCCTGCTTTTGGACGGTGGCCGAGGAATAGCTTAACAGCCAAGAGGAAAGTGACGGATGTGCAGGTCACATGGGAGGAAGCCAAAGGCGCGCAGGTGTTTTAATTGCAGTTTGCCAGTGTAAGATGCAGAGAATCACCACGCCAAGCAAGCTGGGCTTTGGAAGAGCCATCCAGAAATGGACAGAATTGCCACTTCATGTTAAATCTTGCACTTCACAGTTTTGCTGTGTTTTGCTCATTGTTAAACAACACTGAGCTGCGATTATGAACATGTCCACAGATCTAGAATTAGAATATGTTTGCTGCCGCTTCTGGTAGCTGCAGCATTTTCTCCCATCGGAAGCAGTCTATAGAATATACATCTACGGACTCTGCACCGATCCTCATGGATCCTCAAGTCTGACGGAAGATGTGGGTAGTTCCGAAGAATTCATGGCGAATTTTGCCGTCCGTCATCCGATCGTCCTTCCATGTCCTTCCAATCCATACCGGGACAAATTCTCCAAGGCGTTAGGTATCAGAGAGGTCAGATGATGTCAGATGTACATTCCTTCCCACGATCACGGTCTGTACGGCCTTTTGGGAGGCGGCTTGCCTTCCCCGTTCAGCAACGCTGGAAGAAAGGATTTGAGCTGATCAAAAATCATCACAAAGGTTGATGTTTGGAACATGCCCTGAGGACATGTCCTGCGACAGGCCATGTTGTAGCAACCGGATTCATTTTAGGGGGTAGGTTTTGACCCTGTGCCTCCACTGGCGGACACTTAGATAGCCAACTATCCCTGCAGCAATGCCTGCATCAGACTCGAAGCTTGGCAAAAGACTCTGCTTGCTGGCTTGCAGGGGCTAGTTGATGGCCTGAAGGGCAGACCTTTACTGTTATCTTATTCAATATGTTGCTCTACTGTGAAGCATTTTCCTGATGTCAATCACCTCGCCCCTTGGACTATTCCATTTGCTGTCATGCAGGGGGGCATAACTTAATCCATCCTATTTGATCCTATTGGTATATACAGTATATACATATTGTATAATATGATATTACATTTATATATAATTATATACTTTTCTACTATCATTGTTGATGGAGAGCCGCCATCCAAACCGATCGCTGGGTGTTTGATGTCTACCGTATTCTACCGTGCAGGATGAGTCTTGGACGAAGCATTTGCATATATATATATATATATACAAGAAGCTACTAGTAACAAGTGCCACGCTAGTAGTAACAGGTGCCTTACTAGTAGTAACAAGAAGCATTATATATATATAACGTTCGGACCTCCGAAGGGAACAAACACCCATTCGTTTGTCTCCCATGTTGAGGCCAACTACCGCAGGGCTGCCCAGCTGGTAAATGTTGACTGTTTAGGCTGGAAATAGATATACCGTGATATACCTGTTTGGAGCAAGAAAAGAGCTTGCTCAATAGTATAGAGGCAGACACGAAGAGATGCCATACGTCTCCCATGACATTTGTACCCACTCCCACAGCCTTGAATACTAAGAACATCAAAGACCCTGAAAACGGCTACTGTGCTCATGCTTCAGTATGGATAACGTGTCCAAAACAAAAGCCGAGTTGTCTTAGGACAACAAAAGACTTCTTTCGCCTTTCGCCTCACTGACCGAACAACCTCTCCAAGGTCGCATCAAGGCGGGGGATCGTCATGGAGCTGTGGAGATGCTCAAGCCAGTGGCCCAGCGGTAGGGTCTGAGGAAGGTACTGAGCCCTGAAGCAGTAAAGCAGTTTCTATTGGAAAATATAATGTAAGGAACCTACTTTCTGAAATGACATGCAAAGTTCATCCAAACATTTAGAAGGTCCATCTCCACACACTGTTTGGCATGTTGGAAATACACAATGTTCCTTTGCAGAATAGTTTGCTATGCTCTTTTAAACATTTGCAGGTGGTGCAGATCTTTAGCCTCTTTGCAGGGCACTGCAACTGTTGGCCTGGTCATGAGCTATCGTAATCGTCTCGTCATTCCTCAGGCAGGATAACTTCAGTGACAGCAGTGTGCCATCTCCGCAGGTTCCAAAGGGTGGCTGGGGCTCGACAGGATCGATTCCGAACGATTGGGACCAAGGTATGATCCACCACTCGAAAGGGCCTTGTTGGTTACAAGTGAACCACGGTCTACAATTTTTTCACGAAGGGCTGGACATAATAGGAGATAATAGGTATTTTTGTTCCATCCGACAATGGTGACAAACCTTATCAAACCACAACAAACCTAATTATTGGACTGGGGAGGACGAATAGCTACAAGTGCCTTTAGTGCAATTTTCAGGGCATGAGTGACCCCAACCAGTGCGCAGCATATTGGTTTCGCCCACTGGTCCACCTTTCTCAAGCTGGGATTAGTTCCACGTTGCTGAACATTTACACCTGTGGATGGATGAAACCCCGTTAGCCTTGTTGCAGGATGAATCATACAAGCAACTCAATTTGGATCATTTCAACAAGGGTATTGATCTGCAGCCACAGCCTTGACCTTTCTAGCTGGAAATGGGGACGTTCGACAATTCTGGACCAATCGGAAGATGCCCCGCCAAGCATGTGGAGACAAGGACTTTTGTAGATTCATTGGATGGTTTGGCGGATAGTGGAATAGGGATTCCTCATGATTCCTCTTCAGTTTAACAATAGTTTCTCTTGTTTTTGTCGGAGGTGCCAACCCACATCCGGTGCCATCAGGAGTACTCCAGAGCCGTCGCCTCGCAAGCGTCTACTGTTTGGCACCGGAAGGCATCGCTCTGCGCGACGGCCGGCGGGGTAGCGCAGTCAACATGAGTCAACTTAGACCTTTTCAATTTGACCTTCCAGATTTTTATTTCAAAACTACCAGAAATCCTGAAGCCATGTTGCCAGCACAGATCTATGACTCGAGGGTTTAAAATCGCTCAACTCCAGCGAGAAAATTTCAGCGCAACTGATTAGCTTGTCACCAGACTTCCTGGTTCATGACGAGAATCCCAAAAAAGGGATCCCAGTCCCACACACCCTTCGGTAGAGATATGATGTGTGCAGATAGCCGCCATGGCCTTCTTTGAGGCCATGTCCCTGGCCGTTGAAGTCTTGAAAGAAGCCCAGGTGGTCTGGAGCCTCAGTTGACTTCGGGCCGCCACCCATATTCACCAATGTGTCTTAAAAAAAAAAAAAAACAATAACATTCTTTGACACATAATCATGTAAACAACAATTAACATACAAACACCATGCATGTTCATGTTCCAGCTTTGGTAGCTTTGCTGGTCACTTCGTCCATGAGCCACAAACAGGGGTCAAGCAATTCACGTGGACCCACTGAAACTCACCGGGTTGCATGCTTGATCCTGCTCCTCCGGTGATGCAGTCCGGTGGTGTGGGGATTGGATCCGTGCCTGCAACCTTTGCAAGTTCTTTGCAACGAAAGCAATACATTTGGTGGTGCTTGGAACATTTGGTAGGCACAATGAAGAAGTGGGCATGGACTCCATACGAAGAGTACCATGCGCTATGTGGAAAGCACATCCACGATCTCTAGATCTTTGGGACGTGAGCGAGACTGGTGGAGTCCTTGATGAATCGTGTCTACATAGTCTACTCTTAGCAAGACACACTCTGCGACCAATCAATTTACATCAATGGATTGTTTTAAGGGAAAAATGACGGGAAAAATCGACAGGAAACCAAGGTTTTAACTCCCCAAACTTGTTTGATTTCCTATGGTATCCTGCAAATTATTCCTTAAGCCAATTCGGGGCATCCAAGACAACTTTCTTAGAGTTCTGGGATTGAGAAATCCCCAGTTCAGCTTGCTTATGACATTTGCTAGGAGCGTGTGCTGGACATCGGCACGAGCTTCAATCCGCCCGGGCTCTGGGAACCGGGGGAAGTCGGAAACGAGATTGGGGAAGTATCCAAGACTTGTGTTGTCAACCTGCCACCAAAATCATCCTAGTTTGCCAAATGCCAAAGACCACCTTTCATCCAATCCATGATCTATCTGCTTCGCGGTGGAATTCAGACCCTGGGCCACTCCCAAACTCACGTGAAGTTCGGTCAGCTACACCTCCCCATGTACCCACCGATGCCAACCGAACCGTAGCTTCTTGTTTCTTTCTACTATTTATTTCTTGTTTCTAATAGCTTCTTGTTCCTAGTAGTAAGGCCAGGAGCCCCTAGTAGCGTCCTTGCTCCCCAACTTCATCCACATGCATCAAACGAACCGCTTCGACGTTCGGTGTGTTCTGGACCCGTGACGAGGCTTCAGCACGTCTTTCCGCACGTCACGGCCATTGATGTCGTCCCTGGAGATCCCAGTGTGCGCCACATTGTCGTTCAGTGGAGCTCGTTGCTTCGGGTGGGTTTGTCACTCACCGTTTCTGGCAGAGGTTTGGTATAAAGGCGGCATATGGCATATAATATGTTTGGTATGTTTCGTTTTCGGGGCTTGGAATTCTGTAGGCACACGGCATCATTGTTCAGTTTGTCCTTTTGCCTACTCCATGGTCCTGATGTGGCTTGGTTTCCGAAGCAGAAGAATTCGTAGTTCATCCCAAGGAAGATGGATCAATCCCAGTAACTACGGGGATCCAAGACAATTGGAAGAAATTGCTGTAGCGAAAAAGAATTGAGATCATGAAAAGCAACATTGTATTCGCAGTGGCAGACATTTCGTGGGTCGTGAAGGCCTGTTGGAAGAGCCAGCAGAGAGACTGTCAACAGCCAGCCATCAGAATGGTCCTGCAACAAGTCACCATTGAATTCATCAATGTGATAATCCAGAACGAGTCACTTACTAGAGAGATGTTTATCATTGTTTATCCAGTGCATCAAGTTGTGTAATTACACCTTTTTATATAAGTGCATGGATAATATCAGAATATTTCAGATTATATATATAGACAAAAAAGTATAGCAACGCATTGTTTTATACGGATTTGTTTTTATGTACGGATTTGTTTTTATGTTTGTTTCAGACGAAACCACATACTTTGCTGCTTCAGAGAATCATCGGGCAACTTGCTCCTACCAAGCGCAAAGCTCGCTTGGGGCGGGGAGGTGTTGATCGCTGTCCGCTTGTCCGGCAGGTTTTGATCGGCGACTTTTTGGAGGCGCAAAGCTTGGGATATCTTCTCAATGTAAGCCTGGTCGGTCAAGTGTTGGTATGCACGATGTGATTATGATTATCATAGGTCGAGTAGTGCCCTTCCAGGAATGGTTTTTCGATGGGGGAACATCCATGGTTCCTTCCAGTGTTTGGACCCTGGTTCCTTCCATGCAGGCCGTGTGGATGATCCAAAAGGTCGATCTCACACACTACGCTCATCAAACCTGATTACTTACCAAAATGCCCATGTCACGTCCATGGGGGGACAGTGAATTTGAGCATATTTGAGCATTTATCATAACACATATTGGGTTATTGTTTTGCTTACCGTCAAACTTCAAGAATGAGTTAAGCAATTGGAATGCAAAGCCGCAAAGCACGCACTTTGTGTCGCAGTACCGAAACATTTCCACGCAAATCACGATTGGTTCATGCCTCAGGCCGATCCTATGAAGCAAAAACAGACAGTAACCTGGCAAAGCCTAGCACATAGACCATGCAATCACACAATCTATGAACCTCCAGGCAAATGCTTTGAATCCAGCAGATAAGGCCTCTTATCGCGCCAGTCCTTAGTCGCCAGGTAGACCTTCGTGATGATCTTTCAGAGGCGTCGAGATCTTGTGGCCGACTGGTAAGACACTCAATCTAGAATCTAGACATAATAACCCAGACACTCCATGGGGGGGGCCATGTTTGCCGATCAATTGGGGTGGTTTTAGGGGGTCAATGTAGGCATATATGGCATACATGGAGTGTTTGGGTAAGGACCCCAGATCATTATACTGTACCATTGGTACCTGGTGGTGTTTTTATTTGATCAGAGGTGGGGCCACCGGAGGGCACAGAAGTTGGGAAGTGTAGGCCGGCAGCCCTTCTGGGGACATCCTTTTTGACACGAGTCAAGAGCCGACCTTTTCAAAAGAAAACAACAACAACAACAACAACAACAACAACAACAACAGCAACAACAACAACAACCACCTTTCGCAGCAGCTGCGGTTGTGTTTTTTCTCTTTGATTTGTTCATTGTTTGTGTATGTTTATGTTATAGCGTTTTGCTGTAAGTTTCATGTATTATGTAGCTCACTGGCAAATGATTGGCCACAAGGGGCTGTCTCCCTTCGCCGGTAGGCTCTGTGGCATGGGGATCCCCGGCAGCTGCTTGCAGTTGCTGGGCTGCAGGCTGATGAGTCAAGCTGAAAGGAGTGTGTGATTCAAGAAAAACAATATAGGATCATGTGATATCATGATAACAATCATTTCACCTTATTTCAGGGTGTATTTTGGGTGACAGGAATTGGAAGTCGGCTTTGCGAGGGCTCCCCACGGCCGTTAGCATTGGACACCAGACTGGTTTCAATTCCAATTCCGCGTCGGTTTTGAACGTTTACCAGGCCCGGGTGGATTCAACTGACTCTGACACAAAAACTTGTTTTGGAGTTTCGGTCATAGGCACAAGCATGGCCGTCCAGTTGATGAATGAAACTGTTTGAAAAGGACTTGTAACTTGTCACGTGTCTCAATTCTCAAATAATCCCTAGTTTTATGTTGGGCGATGGCAGCCATACATGGCCAACCATCAAATAATTTTTTTTGTGAAAAAAAAAGTGAAAAAAAACAAAATAAAAGCAAATGAAAATGCAAAAACAAAGCAAAAACAAAGCAAAAAGCAAAAACAAAGCAAAACAAAAAGCGAAAAAAAAGCGAAAATAAAGCGAACAAAAAGCGAAAATAAAGCGAAAAAAAAGTGAAAAAAAAACGACAAATATGTTTTTGCTGTACCCTCCTAGGAAAAAAGCGAAAAAAAGCGAAAAAAAAGCGACAAAAAAGCGAAAAAAAAGCGAAAATAAAGCGAAAAAAAGTGAAAAAAAAGCGACAAATACGCACAGCTACATTTTTTTGCATTTTTGTTTGCTTTGCCTTTTGCTTTTTTTTTGCTTTGTTTTTGCTTTATAAAACTATTTTGGCTCCTTGTATCTATGGCTGGCGTGCCCGACATAACCCTAGTTCCTATTAATAAACGTACCCCAATTAATAAAAACACATGTGCCCGACCCCAAAAAATTGTTAGTAGCGTTTTGAAATTGCTCCCTTTGAAATTCAATACTCGTGGGTCCACAGTCGGGGGTGCCCCAGATTTTAGGTGTATTAGGGGGACAGCAAAAATAACCCGAATTCCCCCTAATATTAAAAACATCTCCAACCCTCCCCCAAAAATACCTCTTAGTCTGTGCCAATGCTCCTAATTAATTTTGCTTTCCTGATTGCGCTATCCATTGCTCTTTGCAGCGATGTGTTTTCATTAATTGGGTGCATCAACAGTTGGTCTAGGAAACCAACAACAGGGGGAAGACCTTCGATTTGACCCTTTTTAGCTTTTTTGATGGTCGTTTTAACAAGGATTTTATATAATTAATTAGATTGGGAACCCAGGGATTTTCTTTCAAGACCCTACTTTTTATTAGGGCGAACAGAACATTGACCATTTTGGGGGTACAACAGGTGCCCCTCAATAATAAACACCCCCTATTAGTAAAAACACCCCAGGGTTTTTATTAATAGGGGGGGGGGGAGGCCCCGTTTATTATTAGGGAGAGGGGATTATTTGCCTTTCAAATGTTCCATCTTCCAAGCTCCTTCCCGCTCGGGATCCAGTCCACTTCCAGTGGCCCACGGAACATGAATTTCCACCGAACGAGTGGATGCATCATGGTGTGCATCGATCGCCCAGGTTCCCACAGAGCATTTCGATGCAGCGCTGTTGTCGATGGTGCTGCGGGCGCTGAGTGGGGGCACCCTGCGGGCATTGGCGTTCGTAGCTAGGAGCGGAGTTGGCCAGGCATGTTCGTAGGAGCGGAGTTGGCCAGGTGGAGGAGAGATGAATGTAACGAAAGGATCCCAACCCTCCCCCGGGGGATGTTATCGTTTGAACATTTCTTTCCAGGCCCTCTGATTTGTGTCTTGAACTTAAAGAGCCTATGCCTATGACCAGGCCCAGCCGGGCCTAGCAGCAGTAAAGTAGCGGAAGTAAAGTGAGTCGCAAACAGCAAACAGAGATCATGTTTTGACAACTGCCTGACTGCCTATTACTAGTATCATTATATATATATAATATAGACAGTAGTATCCATTTGGGCCATCTCAGATGTGGACCATTCAAACATGCAATTGTCGAGGCCCCACCTTTGGCACCGGCCACAAATCCCGGCGCCGGCGGATGCTACAACGGGCTGCCCGCTGTGTGCGGGCAGGCGGGATTCTGGCCAGGCGCCCAGAGAAATGGCACTTGCGCACACTTATTGGCCGTCACACAATAGGAGTTTTTTTGAAAGACGCAGGTTAAAGATGGTGAAAGACATTCAACATTGATGAACATTGATGAGCATTGTGTGGTCCAGTATGTGTGCATGTTTTTTTGGGTCCAGGAATTATGTACTTCATATTGCGACAAATCAATTGATCCATTCGAACAAAGCCATAGATTTGCACCATCAGCACATCGGGTGGACAACCTCTGGTTTTGTCTTAGCAAGCGTACCACCAATAATATGCACTAGTTTGTATAGTATCAATAATTGACCTACACTTCCTCGAACTAGCAGCAGCAGCAGCAGCAGCATAGAACTGACAAATGGCCCTTGGAACACCAATGAAAGCCAGTTTCCTCTACAACCAGGGGATTCTCCACTTCCATCTTGGTTCCAGGGAGTGATATATATATATATAATCCTGATAGTTATTTGTGATAGCATGCCATCATCAGCCCTTCCTGAAAGAACTCGGCCAAATTTGTAGAACGTGCTTTGTGCCTATTCTATGAGTCACAAAGCCTTCCTATATTTGACTGCCTTCCGGTATTTCCGTGCTGGATCCGTTTTGGTGCCTGGATCCGTTTCTCATGGCCGAGGTGGTCGTTGAGAGGTCCACGTTGTGGAAGATGTGCCATGGCTCCACCGGTGAAGCGACGCTTTTTTCCAGTGAAGTGGTGCGGTTTGGTGGCCTCACATGGCTCATGAGGTTATGTCAGGTGCTGCGGCTTCCGGTGGCCTCGCCTGGTGAAGGGAGCACACGTGCGAAAGACGGGTCTCTGCTGTGACAGCACTTTCTTCGGGAATGATCCATTGCAAGCTGAACACCAAGCAGAAACAATGTTCGCAAGTGCATCGCTACTAGTAACAGGTGCCTTACTAGTAGTAACAAGAAGCTATTAGAAACACCTGCACTCAGAGAAACCCTCCAACAAAACACAACAACTCCACAAAAAGGGTTGACAACAGAGCATTCACGGGGTTCTAAGGCAATGGCCATCCAATCCATCCAATCCTCCATGCGACCAGCCGATAATGGGGCGCAATCGTGCAATTTGGAGTGTTCCATCGTTAGTGCCAGGCAGAATTGGGATGCACTTGATTGATTCCAAAAACATTGGCCCGAATCCTTTTGCACATAACGTTATAGTTATACCTGTCTCAACTTGAGTCCCTCTCTCCATGCTCGCTCAGGGTCAACGCGCCTTTCCAGGAGCTGGCTTGGTCAATCTGTTTCATATGCGAATTTGCGCTTCACGTGTGAACTACTTTTCCTCATGGCAAGCTGCAACCCTGGAAAGGATCCCAACCCCTAGTTGACCGTAGACTCTCGACGTTTTTTCTACGCAATGAAGAGATGAATTCTAGGGTCGCCGGGAAGCAAGGAGGGATGCTAAGGGGGATTTGTTGGCTTGCACCCTTACTTCCCTGGTCATGTTACGGTGCTTTCCTGTGGCTTTCCAGGAAGTGATGTTGCATTGTGGCCAACTCAATGCATTTCGATCGGCATTGGAGGGGGTGCCTCTGAATTTTCTTAGTCCCAAGAACCTAAGAATGGTGAATAAGAGTTCCACTACACTCAGGCTCGATATTAGGTGTTGCATGGTGTTACACAGACATGTTCTTGCCACTCTGCAAGTGAACAATCCCTTCCACCTATTGAAAAAACACGGGTCCTCCCTCCCCCTAATGAAAAACTCATCCGGTATCATTCTTCTTAATAGGGGGTCCCCCAAATACGGCTACCCGCAAGGATGGAAACCTGGGAAGGGCTTCATACAATCCTTTATTAAACTTGTATCAACAACATGTGCAAAAAAGACTCCGGATCGAAGGGTCTTCCTTTTCCCTTACTAAACCCTTTATTAAAATAGTGATCCTTCGATATCCTTTAACAACTAAAGGTTTTGATAGGTGATGTCGCTGTGCCACGCGGTTTTGCGCGGCCTCGGTGGAAAGTGCGTTTGCGTGGCTCTGTGTCATAGGGGAAGGGTGCACATGCGTGTGTAAATGCGGCGTGGCGCTAGGGAGGGGCATGATTGGTGGTGATTCCAGTGGGTAGGTACCCAATTTATATCATTTTCCTATGTTTGTAGTTTGGTCGTAGCTTTACTAACAAGGCGGTAATTTAGAAACATGTAAGTATATATAATATATATATGCTGTGAGGAGCCTCCGACATGAGTTACTGGGTGCTCGGGCTTATGCCTGCGCAGGCGCTTGCTAGACTTGACCTTGTATTCTTGATCTCCATCTAGTGCATGGGTTTCCTGACTTGTAGGGTGCTCAAAGGCTTGCATGTACTTACGGTACAGCTTGCTTTGCTTTCTTCACGTTTGTAATGGGTGTAATGCAGCGTGCAGCTGCATTAGTTGCATGTGCTGGTCAGTTGCACTTGGGTTGATGTCGTGCAACCCCTTTGTTTTTGACGTGGACGCACCAGCAAGATCCTTGTGTGGATCAGATTGGGCGCGTCAGGGCTTCATCCTTGTAAGACTGAGGTGGAAGCGGCCCCAAGCAACAGGGTTTCCGAGTGGTGTAATCAGACTGGGGTGGCATTAAATTTTTCTATACTTACAAAAGCCGATCAAATCTCAGATCCATTTCGTCAAAAACATGCCCGTGCTCCGTCCATATTCCCTAGACGCTTTCTTGGTCTCGCCGGTGTCAAGGTCCGGGCAGTGATAGATCCATCATCTTCCATTGCCAATTGAAACTTAGTTGAGCCACGATCAAGATTTGCAATGGTCGACGCATCCAGTACATTATAGTTATAGTTATGAAATTAGATGTTATTAATATGCTTGTTGGGTCTGTCCTATTACCTGTAACAGTCAGTAAACATTTATCACTACTTTTGAACAAGGTTTTTACTAACAATCATCCACTGTTTCTGGTAATAGTAACAGGATAAACCCAAACTATATGTACAATGAGTTAAGGGTTTACTAAGGTTTGGCCATAGTTCATTTGGATGTGCTATTTATTTTGGGTTGGTGGTTTGGGGGAACCACTGCTAGGACAGCTTCTGGACAAAGTCACGGCTACGTTGGCGCAAGACGTTGCGTTCCGTGGGTTTCGGGACTAATGCCACTTGGACGTGACAGTGTTCATGCGAGATTTTGTGGGATGTTTGTTTTGATAGTCGGTTCCATAGAGTCAGAGTCAGACCCGGAGCACGGGTGATTTGAAAGGGGATTGGAATGATTTTCTGTTCGTTTTCAACGAGTCGGGGCACTTTCCAAGATCCACCCATGGGCCCAAGAGTCGGGCGCTTTCCCTGCCGAGGTCTACATTTTGGATCGCTTACCGGGTGTGGTGGAAGATGACTTCGAGCCAGAACAAAAGTTTGTCCGCCTTGGTTGCGCAATGACATGGCGTTTGGATCAAAATTAGTTTACTTTGAGATCGTGAACATACACTATATATATATATATATTGTGTTCATCACGGACAAGAGGACAAGACTACTGCACTTTCCCTTTGGCCCTCGGGCTTTGGTGAGAACATCAGCAACTCTCGTGATTTGTTCGATCCATCTCGTCGAAACACCAACTCGCCGCGGAACCCGCTCCCCAACGCAGGTGGGCCCGGAGGTGGACCTCCAAGGCAATTTGGGCCAGGGGTCAATTGATGACAGGGCAGGCTGCGTTGAGGTGGTGTGTTTCTGTTTTTCCCCACCTGCCAGGTGAGGGTTGTTAGATTTTATCACAGTTGTTCTTCCTCCGCCTCCCCCGCCTCCTCGTCCTCCTCCTTCCTCCTTCCTCCTTGCTTCCTTCCTCGCCAATCTGCTTCGCCGATGTTGTCTGGCCAGCTCCGGATCGCAGCGTGCACCCCTGGACCTCAACCGCAAGGATCCCCTCGCAGTGTGCACCCCTGGACCTCAACCGCAAGGATCCGATCGCAGTGTGCATCCCTGGACCTCAACCGCAAGGATCCGATCGCAGTGTGCACGCCTGGACCTCAACCGCAAGGATCCGATCGCAGTGTGCACCGCTGGACCTCAACCGCAAGGATCCGATCGCAGTGTGCACTGCTGGACCTCAACCGCAAGGATCCGATCGCAGTGTGCACCGCTGGACCTCAACCAGATAGTTTGTCAGATAAAATGCCAAGTAGATTGCCAGATAGAATGCTGCAAGAAGATACGCCAGATAGTATGCCAAATAGTGTGTCAGATAGATTGCTAGATACATTGCCAGATAGAATGCCAGAAAATATGCCAGATAGAATGCCAGATAAAATGCCAGATAGAATGCCAGAAGATATGCCAGATAGAACGACAGATAGTATGCCAGACAAAATGCCAGATAGTATGCCAGACAGTATGCCAGATAGTATGTCAGATAGATTGCCAGATAGAATGGCAGATTGAATGGCAGATAGTATGCTTCAAACACACAACCACAAACACAACCACAAGCTCACAACCACAAACACAACCACAAACACACAAATACAAACACATAACCACAAGCACACAGCCACAAACACAACCACGAACACGCAACCACAACCACAACCACAAACACAACAACAAACACAACCACAAACATAACAACAAACACACACCCACAAAGACACAACAATCGACGCACAACCACAGACACACAACCACAAACACACAACCACAAACACACAACCACAACAACAAAACCACAAAGACACAACCACAAACACACAACCACAAACACAACCACAAACATAACAACAAACGCACACCGACAATCACACAACAATAGACACACAACCACAAACGCAACCACAAACACACAACCACAACAACACAACCACACACAACCACAAACACAACCAGAAACACACAATCACACATACACAATCACAAACACAATCACAACCACAACCACAACACACAACCACAAACACACTCACAAACACAACCACACACATACACAACCACAACATAACAACAAACACACAACCACAAAGACACAACAATAAACACACAACCACAAACAGAACCACAAACACAACCACAAACACACAACCACAAACACAACCACAAACACACAACCACAACAACACGACCACAAAGACACAACCACAAACGTACAGCCACAAGCTCAACCGCATACACATCCACAAACACACAATCACAAACACACAGCCACAAACACACAATCACAAACACAACCACAACCACAACACAGCACACAACCACAACCGCAACACACAACCGCAGCACACAACCCGAGGACCCACAAGCAAAATCGAGAACTACAATACTCACGACCATGGCAACATGCTCCTCACTATGTCATCAAGTCAAATGATTGAAATGTCATGGTGAGGATCACTCGAAGTAAAGTAATGTTTTTCCGCACAAAAGGAGCAAAGATACTTGTTGAAAACCAAGGCCACACAATCCGCACTCTTTGTTTCTAAAGTCTTATAGTTATTATTGGGAGCAATGAATTGGTGACGGAAGGCATTTGACTTACTGATCCAGGTCGAGTATATTGAAGGACGAGTTAAACCTGTTGAACTACATGTTAAACTTCGTGGACGACCGCAACACCAGAAAATAGTTTCTGATCCACCGATTTGCCTCAAAACAACTCTTGGCAAGAAGCCTTTGTGTGATGGACTGATGGAGGTGGGACAAGTTCTGTTGAACATGGATCAAACGTTAAGCCATTGGCAACGACCGTCGACGAGGGTTTCTCCGAGCGTCCACACATGGAACCAAGCAACGAAGCTTGGTTTGACCCAATGGTTTTGGATCTTGACTTTCTCTTAGAACCACACCAAGAAGCTACTAGGGGGCTCCTGGCCTTACTACTAGGAGCAAGGACGCTACTAGGAGCAAGAAGCTACTAGTAGCTCCTGGCATTACATCCCAAACCAAACACTTTCGTTCGACTGTTCACGCGCCGAACGACCAAACATCGACCGTTCACCGGGCGAGATCTCGGTCTCGTCGGCAGCGCCCACGTCGGCGGAGGCGGTGCTCCGTCGGCAGCTTCTTCGGCCCTGGTGGCTTGGATTTGGACGCAGTGTGCTGGAACAATCCACTGGTAAGGTGCTTGCCAAAGAGTTTGGTTGAAGATGTTTGAAGAGGAAACTGTCGAAATCCAGTGAAACACATGTTTTCAATTTACATGACCGGTCATTATGCTGGTCGTTGTAAGGGGAATCGTTTGGGGAATTGGCAGGTCCAGACTCCAGATGGTGGGGCCCCTCCAATGATCAAATGGAAGAAACTCAACTGTTGAAACTGCACCAACCCGACCGATGAAATAAGACAAACAACATGCTACAGAAATGTGTTTGATTCCTTGAAATCTTGCAAGATTTCAAACTTACCTGGTTGCTTGCTCGGTTTGCTGTTTGTTTGTTTGTTTGTTTGTTTGTTTTCACATTGTTTGTTTGCTTGCTGATCGCATTATTATCGCTATTTTTTACTGACATTAACCGACCTCTTCCAAGGCCCTCAAGGTCCTATTTAAGAGTCATTTAGCAGGAAACCAATATAGTTTATGTAAGTTTTCCATCTCTGGTCTTGGGAGTGTGGAAAGTTTGAAGTGTTCAAGTATTTTCAAGAATACGTAGCAGATCATAGCAGCAAAAGCACGTGAAGCAACAGCCTGTTTTGCTCAAGTCCGCTGTCCTCAGGTGGAACTTGAAGCCAAGGCATTGGACTCGCGGGCTTTTGGTGATGCATTGTGTGGTTGGAATGGTTGCGGTCTGAACCTGAAAAGCACAGTAATGTCACTTCAGGTGCTCCCAAACAGTTCGTTTGCACATATCATCACAATTCATCACACATGTAATTCTATGTTTGCCAACCTAGAAACTGGATTGGATCCTGGCTAACTACAAAACATATCGGACAAGATTGTGGGTCTCTCTCCTGTCCGGACGACATCGATGGAGGTTTGTCGATGTCGATGTCTCATATCCAAGTCTCGAGGCCAGTGTACAACCTGTTTGTTGGGACGACTTTAAAGACTTCAGACTATGGGGGATTGGGGAGGGGGCAAAACCTGGAGCCTCCAACATCATGTAGCTTGACCGGCTTGACCTCCCAGGTAGGTCACAGCCATATTAGTTGTGAGGTCGCTTTTGCAATCGCCGAGGAACGTCAAACGTCCAGGGCCGCTCATGCACCTAATTCAAGCGACAGCCTTGCGCTAGCTACGTTACGTAGTCTCATTGGCCTGAAGTAGCACAAGGAATCGCACCATTAGAAGGCATGGCTGTAGACTCCTCACATTAAAAGAAGCCAGAGACAAATCACTGCTAACTCGCCCCAAAAGTTGCTATCGCTCGTAATGCCGTTGGGATCACCAATGGCCTGAAGGGGAGCTGGCGCCTCCTGGGCTACCCCACAAAGCAGCAAAGATGATACCACATTGCTGCAGGGCCTACATGAGGACACCGATCGTTGAAGTGTAGCTGACGTTGCATAGTTGCTGCTGGCACTCATTTCCCGCACTGTCACAACCTGTGTTTGCTTTCATTGGCACTGAAGCCCTGCACTGCCACCACCATGGAACCAAGCATTGCCACAACCTCGCTGGCACTGAAGTGCTGGCATTCGCTCATTCTATTCCTTCATGGTTTTGCGAAGGCTATGCTTAAGCGAAACTTGACTGAACGGCTGGGGCGCTGGCTGAATTGATCCAATGGGCATAGCAGCACCCATTCTGTGGCACTGCGCTTTGATTCCGGAGTTACTGTAGTTCGCTTTCTAGCCTTTGCAGACAAGGTCGACACAACTTCTTGTACTGTCGTGTCATGTTCCACAGCTTCAGTCCGCTCGAAGGCTCCTGAAACCACGACGGAGCACGCTGCTTCGACCTCAGGGTTGCGAGCTGGTCTCGGTCTCCCAAAGGACACCAGGGTTCAGAACGAGAGCCGTGCCGCATCGGGATTCACTGTCTCTTCCTCTTCACTGCCTTTTGTCTTCACTGATGAAGCAAGCAATGAATGTGTGTTGGTGATTGTTGGTGTGGGAGTCCTTCCTTTCCTGTTTCTTTTGAAGTCTTTTGCGAGACACGAGCATTGGATGTGTGTGTGCGGGGACCAACAGCCCAGGTGGGAGGGGAGAGCACAATGGATCTGTTGGAAGTGCAGGAAAATGCTGTGGCTCGGTACCCCATGCTGGGCTTTCTGGGAGCCTGCAACCGGCAGGTTCAACTGGGTGATACTGTATAGATAGTTACAGATAGTTGTGAACATTGCCATCAGTTGCAGGGGATCTAAATACAGAATTCAAGATATACATTTACGTTTCTATGGAACAAAGTGGGTGCATTCCTTGCGAAAGGCATCATTACGTACCCAATGTACTCTTCTGACAAGAGCTTGTTCTTCGCTACAAATGCATTTGAGAAACCTACCAAACCAGTCGTGAGACAACTAATTCCTTCAACCTGCCATTGACTTTCACAGGCCTTGAGACGTCCGTTGGCAGTCTTGCTCTGTGACCCTGCTATTTCATTGTGGTATGATTCAGCTGCA